TGTGTGGGGGTGTCTTTAATTCTCCTCTACCTTAATCCCTACATACTTTGTTCATACAAGATTGATTTACGGACAAACGCAACTCAAACCCATAACTCAGCAACCAGTTATTGCCAATGTCTGGCTTCCTCCCTACTTGCAGGGCAGACTGCTGAGATGGTCCCTTGTGTGTAAGAAAAGATTAGTACCTGCCTCACATGGGTTTACCTCAGTGGGGCAGAGGTGGTGAGGCGGCTGGGACTGCAACGAGCAGGCAGGAGCTTGTTGTTAAGGTATGTCAGAGGCCCTAATCTAAAACATTATTTTAAAAGACATTTCTTTTGGAAATCAGTGTGAGCCTGTTTTCACAATCAGGATGCCACTTTCATTTCCACTTTTGGGTTGTGTCTTGTTCCTCACAGCTCCTCAGAGCTCACCAACAAGATCAGCACCCTCACCTCCAAATTCGATGAGCAGCCTGGTAATCCATTCAATAATTCTGCTCACATATAGAAACTGAATGGGAGACCCCCTTCCGCACCACAAATAAATCTTTGGCTTGACTTCTAAGTAACATTTTGCTTCTTCCAGGACCTGTGTGTTTTTCATTCCTGCTATAATAACCCAGTCCCCTTCAGCTATCCCGACATTTCTTCAGTTTAGGACAATAAATACACAAATAGAACCGGATGGCTTAAGGTTTAAGTCACAGCCTAACACTTACTAGCTGTGTGTTGTTAGCTCCAATTCATAGTGACCCTGTACACAGCTGAACGAAACACTGCACCGTCCTGCGCCATCCACACAATTGTTCCCATGCCTGAGCCCACTGATGTAGCCACTGTGTCCATCTTCTCTTCGAGGGCTTTCCTCTTTTTCACTGCCCCTCCACTTTACCAAACATGATGTCCTTCGCCAGGGACTGGTCTCTCCTGACAATATGACCAAAGTATGTAAGATGAAGTCTTGCCATTCTTGCTGCTAAGGAGCACTCTAGCCTTACTTCTTCCAATACAGATCAGTTTGTCCTTTGAGCAGTGCATGATACTTTCACGATCCTTCTCCAGCACCACAATTCAAATGCACTGGTTCTTCTATGGTCTTCCTTATTCAATGTCCAACTTTCACATGTATATGATGCAATGGAGAATACCATGGCTTGGGGCAGGTGCAACTTAGGCCTCAAAGTAATACCCTTGGTCTTCAATACGCTAAAGAGGTCTTGTGCGGCAGATTTCCTCATCCGTAAGGTGAAGATTAGTACCTGCCTCACAGGGTTATACATTTATCCACACTGGCCCTTATACAGAGCAACTCACTCAACTACTGATAATCTCCCACCCTATGAAGGGTCTCCAAAAAGTTCATGGGGAGTACATACCATGCATGAATTTCCTTCTTTTTTTTTTTCCTGCACCAAAATAAACTTAGATGAACTTGTTGTATAGCATGTCTGAATAGGATTTAGTTTGTGGCCCTAGATGGATAAGACATCAGTCTGAAAAGGGCCCCTATCAGAGCAACATGAATTCTGCTAAAATTGAAGCAAGTACAACCATCAATTTTATGGTGAAGTGTGGGTGGAAGAATGGTGAACTTATCAATGCTTTATGAAAGGTTCATGGAGATGATGCCTCAAAGAAGTCAGCAGTTTACACATGGAGAACCCATTTTAACAAGGGAAGAGGTGATGTTGAAGATGAAACCATCTGCAGATCATCTACATCAATTTTCAAGGAAACAACTCTTTTGTGCCCTAATTGACCCTAATTGAAAAGAACCAAAGCTTAACATCTAAAACAATAGTCAACACCATAGATGCCTCAATTGGTTCAGTTTACACAATTTTGACTGAAAAATTAAAGTGGAGCAGATTTTCTGCTTGATTCGTGCTAAAACTGTTGGGCCTGGATAAGCTGAAGATAAGAGCTGAGCTTTTGGTGGAAATTTTAAACAAGGAGGGGTCAAGACCCTGGACAAATTATAACAGGAGATGAAACATAGTTTTATGAGTATGATCTTGAACACAAAACACAGCCAAAGCAATGGCTACTAAGAGATGGAAGTGGTCCAGTTAAAGCAAAAGCAATTCATTCAAGAATAAAAGTCATGGCAAGTTTTTTGGTTTTCTCATGGCAAGTTTTTCGGGATGCTCAAGGCATTTTACTTGGTGACTTTCTAGAGAGCCAAAGCACATAACATCTGCTTACTCAGGAGTTTTCAGAAAGCTGGCCAAAATTTTTGCAAAAAAACACCTGGTTATGCTCCAAAAGAGAGTTCCTTTTTCACCACAATGCTCCTGCTCATTTCTCCCATCAAACAAGGGCACTCTTCCAAGAATTCTCATGGGAAGTCATTAGGCATGCATCTTATAACCCTGCTATGGCTTATTTTGTTTCTTTTTGTTTCCTAATCTTAAAAAATCTTTAAAGGACACCCTTTTTCATCAGTTAACAATATAAAAAAGATTATTGTCATACTTAAATCCCTAGGGCCCTTAGTTCTTTAGCGTTTGACTAAATGTCTATTATTTACTTACAAATGTCTCTTGAATTTGATGCAACTACATTAAGAAATACCTTATATTTTTATTTCACCTTTTAATTTTTTTCTACAAACTTTTTGAAAATGAGCTGTTGGTGACTTTCCAATTAACAGCCACTCACATAACTCCAGCACTACCAAGGTTTTTCTATTACCTCAAACTCAAACTCACTACCATGGGGTGAATTCTGACTCCTAATAACCCCATGGTACAGGGGACAAGTGGCCTGTGCGAGTTTGGGAGGCTGTCATGCTTTATAGACGCAAAAAGCCGTCTTTCTCACACAAGCGTCTGGTAGCAGCTTCAAACTGACCTTGTGGTTAGCTAATGCCTAATCCACTGAGCCACCAGGGCCTATCAGCACCTGATAGGGAGGAAAACAGCGGATGGGATAAAGGGACACAAAAATAGGGGCAGTGTCTGAAGGGGTGAAGGGTGGGCATAAAGGACTATGACTCACAGAAACCCCCAAACGCAGGAACATTCCCTTTCAGTGATTTCTGAAGAAACATCTCGTTCCTCATCTCCCACCTGCCTGCAGATGAGCCTGATTCCCGGAATTAGCCGAATCCCACATCCCCACCCACAAACGGACCCCCTTGACCCCCTAGAATACCCCGCTGGTCAGTACAGAGAGCGCCTTTTGACTCAGGTCAGTGGCCCCTCTCAGGTTTCCTCTAACACACCTGTCTCGTCTCTCCCTGTCTTTCATACAACATATTCGCTCTAACAGAGGGAAGCAAAGACTGATTCCGTCCTCTCCTCCCAAAAGGCACTCCCCAGTCAGGGCCACAGCGCTAGCGCGTCTGTCCCCGCGTGGTCAGTCAGTCCCGCGAGAGCGACTCAGTTCCCGGTCTTTTCCTCGTTTCCTTTCGCAGACCCGGGCGGGCCGTCCCACCTGCTCAACTGCCGACGCCGGCCAGCTCATTCGTCCCTCAACTGGCTGACGCGTCACACTTCCGGCCTGAATCTCCCGGGCCCCCAGGGGCGAGGCTGGAGCGCGGCGGCGAAGGCGGGAAACCCAAAGGCCCCCACGGCAGTGGGCTACAACCCCGCCACCTGCCGGCCCGGCTCGGATTGGTCCCTTCTGAGACCAATGCCACGGCTTTAACCAATCGGCAGCCAGGCCGGTCGGGAGGCCCCGCCCCACACGAGCCCGCGCTCTGGTCCTACGGCTGACCGGGGAAGGTTTGCAAGAGTTTAGGGATTCGCAGACTGGGCCCCCAAGTCACGGAAATGGAGGGCGTACACTTACACTCGAGCCTCCGGGCTTTTGTTGGGAACAGCCTGGGCGTGTGTGACCTTGGGCAAGCCTCTGTTTCTCGCTGGGCGCCACTCCCGCCCTTCTCACTGGGAGGCTGGCGGAACTGGAGGGGTGCGCGTGCAGGGGGGAGGGAACGGGATGGTCCTGGGGACAGAACGCTGTGAACGCGACGTGAGAGAGAAGCCTGACCCTGGCCGTCCTGGCAGCAACACGGCGGCTCCCGGGCTCCTCACCGCGCCCTCGCCGGCGGGCCTCGCCCCGCCCTCAGACCACGCCCCGAGCCTTAAGGCGCGGCCCCGACCCTTAAGCCGCGGTCCCGCCCCTCTCTCAGACCCCGCCCCGAGCCTTAAG